TTTTAAAACAAAAAAAAAAAAAAAAAAAAAAAAACATTTTTTCATCAATAGATGAAAAGATGCAAAAGGTTCAGAGAAACAACCTCAGATAAAATAAAAATAATAATAATAATAAAGTTGTTTAAAATAAAAAAATAACCACCAACAAACTAACGAGCAGCAGAAAAGCATCCAAAGAGAAAAGCAAACCAGCTGCAAAAAATCCAAAAAGGAATGAATCTTTCCACTTCTAAGAGCTTCTAACCCTTTTGGAGCTTGAGTCAACAATCTTGTCTTTAGGGTTGACAGAAACCCAAGATGCCAACAGCTTGAGCAGAGTAATCTGGCAAGCTCAGTTCATCTGGATAATAAGGAAAAAGGACCTTTGGACTTCCATTAGACATCCATGCGCAGTGTCACAACTTCACTGAGAGAAAGTAGGTTGTAACCCTCACACGTCAAGACAGACAAGGGAGGGCTGACCCTCAAGTGGCACCGATCCAGCCATGTTTGGGTGAAGATTGAAGAGTGTCATGAAGATTGAAGATGTATGACCGTGACATGCAACACTAACTTCATAGGAAAAGGCTAACAATACTCATTCTCCACAAAAAAAATCATAGCCTTCATCAAGATAGTCATCCAACCTCTTTTTTGAACTAGCATGCAAGAGAATTTAACCCTTCTCAAGAAAAGCCAGATGAAAAACTTCCTCAATCATAAGACAACGGTCGCTATGACAAGACAAGCAAACACCAAACGTCTCCAAGAAAGAGTTCCAGATTGAGATAACAAACGTACATCTTCAAAAGAATACAACACAAATCCCCATGCACCTTACAAAGAATACATCAATGTGGCTACATCACGAAGGAAGAATGACTGTCCTAATCTTGAATCTCCCATGTAAGACTTTTCAAGCAAAAACTTAACTTTCTTGAAAATTTTGCCATCACAAGATGCGGAAAAAAAAAGAGGATTTCTAACGGTATGATGGATACCCAAAAGAGACATAAAATGTGGGAAGAAAACCCTTCAGTGGGATTAGGGAACCCAAAATTAATATCTCTACTATCCAAGTGAAGATGGAAGTTTCCGAAAAAAGAAGTGCAAATATGTCCAATGACTCCCTATTAAAAGGAGGACAATGAAAATTGAAATTAAGCACATATAAGAATTTTCCAAACACAAAATGATTCAAGCCATATGATACAATCTCAACGAAGAGAGGTGGTATAGATGAAGGAATAAGATAGTAAGGGGGTCATCCACCAACCTCCTATCTTCCCAACTCAACAAACCATTCTCAAGGGGAGACTAGAGCACCTAGAAAAAGATAGTTTTCAAGGGATCTCTGAATATGCCTTTAAATCCCAAATGACGCACACTCAAAAGAGTGACAGACGTGTTTGCTGACAATTAGCTTATGCCATCGAGTGTTGTTTGGTTCTAATAGAAAATGCCATACCCGTTCAGCAAATAGGACCTCGTTAAGAAGTCTCAAATTGCATTGCCTAGCTCTCCATGGCCAATTCATCTTACCTCACCTCCCAACAAATAAAACGGGGACATCTATCCTTCCTTACACCCTCCTGGAAAAAGTATTTATAACATTCTCCAAACTCTTTTAAATGGATACAGGAATACTAAACACAAACTGAACAAGAGACGTTTTTCAACCTTATCTAAGATGGGATTCCAAAACGAAGCCGGCTTGGAAGTATGACAAGGTTTAAGGATGCCCAATTGTTAATCTTGGAGGACTCACAACTGATGCCTAACCTGAATTCTTAATTGTATCAAAACCTGAAATTATCCAAATAATATATATATATAGGTTAAGGTTAAACGGAATCCTCATTACTTGAGCTGAAAATTTTGTAGCATAGGTAGGCTAGAGATGTCAGATGAAATTTAATTATGCAATATCAGACTAATACTCATCTAAATAATTATTTGGCGTTCTAGAAAATTGAATGAATAAATAATTAATTGGTAAATAATCTAAATTTAACGAACCATTAAACTCAATTAGTACACAAGGAAGTAGAAAAAAGAACAAACATAAATACTACAACATACCATTAATAATTGCTCGGTTAGGAAGCTGCCCATACATGACAGACATACTCAGGTCATTAAAAACTTCAAGGGGAAGCATCCTGATAACAAGTAGTGGACAAAGACGCTCAAATAGAGATTGCTGCACACTTGGAGAGATATCTACATTTTGGCTCCCCCGTTTAGTGTAGAAGCTTTCATCAATCCTATCACAAAGAAAATATGGTAAAGTTACTCAGTACTCGTTAACTATACTCCATGGGTTGTTTTTTTTTTTTTTTTTTCATGCTATGTATTGATGTAAAAATACTCACCCACTGAAAAATTATAGCCTATCTTCTTTGATCTCTAATTGGAGTTCTTTACTGTAATTAACCTTTTGGTTGAGAGCCTATAAGCTCCTTTTTTTTCACTCATCAATGGAAATTGTTTCCCTTCTCTTATAAAAAACTATATTTCATGAGTTTAAAATTGAAAATAAATAAGGTGAATGTTTATAAAGCCATTCAAATTGGAACCGTTAAGCTATTTTGCATACAATTCAATTTAAAAATATTGAGGTATGTCTCTCTTCTTTAGTAAAAAATAAGGGAATATGTGTTTGTATCTTTGTGTATGAGATTGTATGAAAAGGAGTGGACAAGAGATCCTATTGAGAAAATAATACAAAGTGACTTGCATTAAAAACAATGGAAAATCCAACATGTCCGTACATTTCCTCTAATAAACTGAAACCTTGCAAAATCTTCCTTCAAATTAACTCTAATAGTCTATAATGTAACCAAAAAGCACCAAAGATGCCAAATGTATGGTTTATTATTATTTGTCTACTTATTATTTAACAATAAAATCTTCCCAAACAAAAAAAAAAAAAAAAAAAAAAAAAAAGGTATAGCAAGATAGATCCTAAGCTTCTCTGTTTTTAAAGTCGAACAATCCAGGACCATGTGAAACACTTGAAAATCAAAATTAGAAATGTGAAAGAATGCATAATAGGAAGTATAGCTTTTTAATAGAACACTCCCAATGGAACAAGTCCTGCCTGCGAAAGAAGTCCAAAGATTTGGCATACTACACTACTTGAAAAACAAGTACTAGTTTTTATTTTATCACAAATCAACTCAATACCATATGTAATCACTAATCAACGCAAAAGCTTAAAGTAATGAGTTTGGTGAATTTAAAGTTAAAATATTACTTTGGTATACTTGAGTTTCATTCTATTTTAGTACGTGTACTTTCAATGTCCAATTTTAGTCTATGCACTTTCAATAAATCGCAAAATTAGTCCCTATGGTTAGTTTACTGTTGATCGTTTTTATAAAAATAATCTCAAATAAAATTCCCTTTATAAATCTTTAAAAAATAGTCCTAGTGTCTTTTCTCGCACGAAAATTATTGTTCTTTTACTAATTTTGATAAAAAAAAAAAAAAAAACTTTTGAATGGCTAAATTTAAGATTTATTGAAAGTGTAGGGACTAAATTTGGACAAATAAAGTACATAGACTAGAATCGATGGAACCCAAAGCGTAGGAACTAAAATGGTATTTTAACCTAAATTAAAATTATATCAAAACTAACAATTTTAAAAATGATTCTCTCTCCTATCCCCACACAAAAGGAACATAAAGATAAAAAGCAGAATGGCATGGGAATACTTTCATTTCTAATAATCATCAAGCTAGACGTGGAGAAAGCCCAAGACTTGACAGATNTTTTCTTTTTCTTTTTTTTTTTTTTTTTTTTTTTTTTTTTTTTTTTTTTGTAATAGAAAAATTACAAGAGGGGAAAACCCCCAAAGGAAGGATTACAAAAAATATATACTTAAATTCCAATGAGAGAAAATTTTGTAATTACAAAAATATAGGACTTGCAGAGTGGAATTTCTTCTCAGAGACATTTTAGAATAAAGGTTTCAACCAGACAAAATTATGATACTAAATTTTCTATTTTCGTTAAAGGAAGACTAAAGGTGTGAAGTAAGGATTGTAGGAGGTTACTTACTCTTTCTGTCCTTTCACATACGATAAAATACGCTTTAGGATCACATCAGTAGCTTTCACCAAGTGCTCGTTTATAATACTCAGGACTCTAACGAGAACTGCATTAGATGGTTCTGCAAACATCTTATCAATCAACGATCCTATCAAGAACTTCCAATCTTGAACCTGAGAAATTACGAAACAATCAATCAACCCATTATTTCTCTTCCGACAGTTGATGCAGACTTATTAACAACAAATGAGAAAACCAACTGGAAGATATTGCATATTTTTCATACAAACAAGAAAGAAATGCAAAACAAGAAGGAAAAAAGAGAAGCATCATGATTGTTATCTCATTGCTAATACACATCACACAAACTTGGGAGGGAAAGTAGGAGCTGAGGATTTCATTTTTGGTCATTTCTAGTTCGTTTTGATGCTGTTAATGAGCCATTGTCCAAAAGAAAATGTCTTTTTCAGATTATTTCCTTGTGAAATTAGTTTACAAACATCATGATCAGGGGAGTTAAGCCGAGGTTGAAGAGCTGTAATGGTTTATTTGACTTTCTACTCCCCTGTTTTGTCCAGTTTCCACTTGAAACATCACTGGAATTATTTGATCTCATGGAATCATAGACCTTGATCAATTTGGTCCACTGCAACTCCCAATCAAACAAATTTCTTAAGAAACCATGGATTTTCATATTCATTTCTTTCAAATTCAATCTTATGACATATAGACACCTCCTAAATTTGTTCTAATACATAAACATCTCCTGAATTGATCGAATATGAATCAAATGTGCGAGTACATCTTCCTGCCCCTAAATTAACATTCATTCCATCTTATAACACTTTTGGAAAGCTACGAAAAACCATGCATGTTGTTTCTTTGAGACCCATCACGAAATTGAGTTTGCTTTTCCTTTCTTTGAACTCATGATGATACCGTGAAATTGAGTTTGCTTCTACTTTCTATGAACCCATAATGGTAAGTCGTCAATTATGCCTACTATGAAGTAGGATCAACCAAGGTGAAAAGATAGAATGGGTGTGAGGTAATAATTCAAACCAACCCATATGCTCCCTTTTTCAATAATATTCTGACTAGAAGCATACAAATCCTGTAATGTGCCTCTCTCTATGTATCTAGTAACCGTAAATATAAGAATATAATAAAATTCACTTGATTAAGCTAAGTTCTTTTTTAAATCTCGATACATGCAATTCGCTCAACACCAAAGAATATTCTTATGTTTTTTTTTTATTTACATGATTTAAAGGACAAACTTGTAGTTTTTTTATCTTCTTGTCCACAAGGGTTTCCTATACTTGTAATAGCAATGTAGCAATGTTTAATTTTTGGTTCACCTTTTTTTTTTCTTTTTTCCTTTTTTGTACATTCAAATATAATTCTTTAGTTATTCAAGGCAATTATTTCCAGCATGGAATTAGTAAAGCAATTATTTCCAGCATGGAATTAGTAAAGCAATTATTTCTATTAAATCATTCACTTTGATATTTTACTGAAAAAATATGGTGATATTGTACCTTCATTGGTCAATAATTTCAATTTTTGGGAGTATCTTAACAATCAAATAAGGGTTTCAATTTAGATTAATTCTGAGCAAAAAGTTTGAAACATTTATTCCCTCAAGACCCATTTTCAAGACAATATAGGATGTAAACTTCTTCCTAATAACCACGAGAATTATCTTTTAAAAAATAATCCAAACAAATTCCTACCATTTTTGTTGTGCTTGGTTTTACAGGATCTTATGTTTGCAAGTCTCTCTTTGTTTTGAGCGTTTTCTTTGCTCAGTGTTTTTTTGTTGCACGATTTTTTTTTTTTTCTTTTTTTCCTTTATAGAGTTTCTATAATTATTCTTAGTGTTCCATATTGCTCTGCATCTCTCCCTTGTGCTTTAATCTCTTTTCATTTATTCAATAAAAAAATTTTGTTCTTTGTTAAAAAAAATGCCACCAATATCAACATGCATTTCCTTCAAACTTTAAAAGTACTAACCCAAGGAAGCAAAAAAAAATAAATAAATGGAACAGAGACCAGCATGCATTGGCACAAGCAGGGGTCATAGAAAAGAGTAACAAAATCAGCACTTTCTGTTATGTTTTCCAGTAAACAAGGGTTTAGCAGACAATCCACACACAGGCACACAGAGTTCTTTTCCCATAAAACTTACACTGTGAGACCATTTAGGAATTAAGCTGAGCACTCGATCACTTTGCAACCTTGATCCTGAAAAAAGCTCTATGTAAGATACAAGTATCATACATGGAAGTTAAAAGCCAAAAGGCATGAATCAATTCCATAACTTGGTACCCACGTGAACAATCAAACTCAAACTTTGTTGAATCGTGGAGTAGTAGAAGAGATAATATTTGTCAATTCATAAACTATGGTAATTGCCAGACCAGCACGACCAACAAAATAAAGTTCTGCTCAAACGATTTGAATGAAATAGATGACTGCACGTAAACTAGGATACGCAAAAGTTTATTCTGGGAGGAATTAGAGTTCCATCCTTTGAAATTTAAAATAACGTAGAAGTAAAAAAATAGATAAATGGGGCAATGAGTTTCAAAATCAATTGCATGGTTTCTGCTCAAACGACAGTCCAATTTTCCCTCCCCAAATTTTTTTATGTAGGAAATAGTTGTTCAAACAAATGAAGATTACGAGTGATCAGAGGATTAGAATAAATGACTTGAAAGCTAACCAAATAATCAGCCCAAGCAATTGCAGAAAAAGATATACAAGTAGCTAAAGAAATGTAGATACATAAAAACTGATGATTTGTTATGAAAGATATATAAATTACATAAATCAAAACCTTCCATGTAGGCCATGTACGGATGTGGAGAACATAACACAATACGAAGAAAAAGAGAAATGTCATGCATCTGCTGCAAATGTTAAAAACATACCTTGACCTTTACCCCCAGTATTTGAAAGAGCTGCGTTTAGGCCAAAATCACTGCACAGGGAAACAAGAGAAATTATTCTCTTTTTTTATAATGAGAAACTGGACTTTCATGGGAAAAATGAAAGAAAAGAAGATGAGAAAAAGAGAGCCCAGAAGACAAAGGGAAAGTAAGGTGTATACTTCTCCAAACGAAAAGAATAACCTGGGTTATTTTTGTTAACGATTGGATCCCCTTTTGTTTCCTTCTTTACATCATCCTTCGTTTCTAGTTAACCATTTTCTTATTTCTTTTTGATCCCATGTTGCATCATGTATATATGTAGGGTTGTATATTCTTTTCAGTTACGTAGTATACAAAAAAATACATTCTGCAACAAAGATCATAGTATCATAGCTAGAAATGGGAAAACAACACTTATGATCCTTGTGGTTTGGATTTAGTATCATTTTGGTCCCTGAATTTTCAAACTCAATCATTTTTGTCCCTGCCATCAGTTTTCCACTACTGTAACAAACTGACACTGATGTGGGCATTTCATTTTTATTAAAAAAATAATATTACTTTTTAAAAATTTCTCTCTTCTTTTTCCTTCATTCTCCCTCCTCCCATCCTTCTAACTATTCCATCCATGGATGCTACCGCCTCCACCTCAAACCTTTTTTCCTTCGCTTTTTTCTTTTTTATTTCTTCTTTTCCATTCCAGTCCTCCTTTCTTCACATTAAAAATAAAGATAATAACATAGTAACACTTTGACTAAAGTGAGGGAGGCTCCCTCGCCTCAGATTTGAAGCGAGGGAGAGGGAGAATCATATTTTCTTTTAAAACATATATGAAGAGAAGGGGGGAAAAAAAAGGAAGAGGAGGGCCATGGATGGGAGGGAGAGGAATAGGAGATTAGAGAAAAAAGAATAAAAAAATATTGAGCATATTACTAATTTAAAAATCAAGAGATTATTTTTTACAAAAAAAAAAAAAAAGTGACAAGTCAACTTCTATCAGCTATAAATGGAAAACTGAGAACTATGAAGCACGGACAAAGACATGGGATATGGACAGGGAAAAACATCGACACGACAACCTACCAATTTCTAGAAAATGTAGGATTCAAATACGTTGGGGACACACTATTTTTTTATATTGTTTTTAGAAAAATATTAAAAAAACCAACAATACTTCAGTTTTTTTTTTTTTTACATACAAACTATTTAAAATAATTTTAAAAAAATATTGAATGAAATTGGCCATTGAACTTACACAATCGTTTAAAATTTAGATGTTCTAAAATTTAATAAGTTATTGAGCCCACTTAAACCCAATAAAGACAAAGCTAAACATGCAACAAAGTATCCATTAAAAGCCCCCAAATTAAGAAATATAAAAAAGTTTGTAATTAAATGAAAAAACCCAACCCTAGTCC